TCATAATTTGAAGTTTAGACTATTTACAAAAAGTCATAATTAACTTTTGAGTCCATCATTATCCTTTATACACTACCATAGAAGTAACAGTTAAGTTACAGAGAATAAGTTAAGTTACCATAGAAGTTACAGAGAAAGGCTGACACTTGATCTTTTTTAACCTTGGAATTTTTTTACCAATTTTTACCAATGTTTTAAGAAGAGTTCTTCAAAGCAAAATTTTTATAACTGTTACTTCTATGGTAGTGTATAAAGGATAATGATGGACTCAAAAGTTAATTATGACTTTTTGTAAATAGTCTAAACTTCAAATTATGAAGAAATAAATCCTGAGTTATTACAAGAATTGTAACTATATGCAAATAACGTAGATACTCGTAACTACCACTAGAGGACCAGAAGCAGTTTTAAAAGTGGATAAAAATGATAGTGTGAAGAATTTCTTTGTGTTTTTAATTGTAAAAGTGTCAGAAACCTACAGAGAAAGGCTGACACTTGATCTTTTTTAACCTTGGAATTTTTTTACCAATTTTTACTAGTGTTTTAAGAAGAGTTCTTCAAAGCAAAATTTTTATAACTGTTACTTCTATGGTAGTGTATAAAGGATAATGATGGACTCAAAAGTTAATTATGACTTTTTGTAAATAGTCTAAACTTCAAATTATGAAGAAATAAATCCTGAGTTATTACAAGAATTGTAACTATATGCAAATAACGTAGATACTCGTAACTACCACTAGAGGACCAGAAGCAGTTTTAAAAGTGGATAAAAATGATAGTGTGAAGAATTTCTTTGTGTTTTTAATTGTAAAAGTGTCAGAAACCTACAGAGAAAGGCTGACACTTGATCTTTTTTAACCTTGGAATTTTTTTACCAATTTTTACCAATGTTTTAAGAAGAGTTCTTCAAAGCAAAATTTTTATAACTGTTACTTCTATGGTAGTGTATAAAGGATAATGATGGACTCAAAAGTTAATTATGACTTTTTGTAAATAGTCTAAACTTCAAATTATGAAGAAATAAATCCTGAGTTATTACAAGAATTGTAACATTATAATAATTATTATTTTCTTCTATACAAAAATTAGAAAAAATTTTATTTTTTTTTGCACAAATTCTAGGCCCACTTTCGAAGCTTCACATTTTAATGCTCATTAGTACTAACAGTTAAAATAATAAAAGTTATCTATTAAACATTTTCAGCACACACACAAAGATGTCATCGTTGAGCTAGTTTTTACTATGATGCCACATTATATTCATTTCTTATTACTTTAAGCAGTTTACACTTAATAATTTTTTAATATTTTGTTTTTAAAATCTACATCTTCCAAAATTAATGCTACCATTTTAAAATAATGTAATTGCATTTAATTATTATCTGAGAAGTATGTGGCATTTACCAATTGATAGAATAACTGTCCGAGTTACATCTCACATCTACATTCAAACATCTTGTCATTTAATACTTCTAGGAAGTGTCGTAAACAAAAATGGTGATCCACAGCAGAGAAAGTTGGAACCATCATGGTGGATCACTTTGAAATTGTCATTCACAGACAATTCAATGTGATCCACCATGTAAGGCAAGCATTCTTGTTGCACAGTGGTGAATGATTAGACAAATTTTATTATTTATTTTACTTTTAAATACCCTGTTGTTGGTTTGTTTATTTGTACAGTTCTATATGGTTGTTATTGATATTTTATATTATGTATATTCAATAAATATTTATTTATTTATACAATTTTAACATGGCGCAGCTTAGCCTATATTACTCTTGTGCCAATCAACAAACCAATCGCCCATCCAACTTTGCAAACTGCAGAACGCAAAATGCCTTACCTGTTGCAAAGTTGCCATTTTCATTTATGGCATCTCATAGATGGAGTAGGTGACAAGATGCTTGAATGCAGGTGATATGAAACTCACAGTTACTGTGTTGATTGGTATATGTCACATACTCTTTAGGTAATAATTAACATAATTACATTAATTTAAAATGGCAGCATTCTTCTTGGAAGACCCTGTAAATTTTAATCTTTTTATCATGAAAGAAAAGTTTTTACTAGAGTCTTTCAACATCCAAATGTTTGTTTTTTGAAAACTCTCCAGTACAAGTAATAACAAACATTTTATAAGCTTCTTAGTTATTCTTGACATGCAATGGTTGTAAAACATTTACTAGATATTTGTTCTGTAAATTTTATTTTCCTAACTAAAATATAAAATAGTTACTGAATAATTTTGCTTTATGTATTTTTTAATCTTAGCTATTAATTTTTCTAAATACAGCCTTATAGTACTAATTCTTTTAACACGTAATGAAAGTTTAACTATAACTATTGGTGAATGAGTTTTCATTTTTTTTTTAACATACAAACATCATCATTTGTTTAAAAAAATTTGTAATAAATTTTCGAAATTTATATTTTGACTCTTAAATAGTTATCTCCGTTTGACATGTCTGAAAATGTCCCCGACGACATATCACCGAGATTACCTCCTTATCGAGAAGGAAGTTACGACGCACCCGATAATGTGGAATCGGAAGATAATACGATGCAGCGTCCTCGAAGTTCTACGATCGGTACTGCCGGAGACGCTCACAAAGAAGTTCGTAGGAAAATATCTGTCGGAAAGAAAGTAGATGACTCTCACGCTTCCCAAACAAAAAGTTCAATAAGAGATATGTAAGTTTGAATGATAAGTATAGTTTTATTTAAATATTATACAGAATAAAATAACTTTTAAAAGAATTTGGATGTTTTTGTTTAATATTATTTTTTAATGTTATCTGTCTTGTTTCTTTATAAATTAATCTTATAATGGAAAATATCAAATGTTCTTACTTATTTATAATGAAAATGAATTAAATGTTTAAAAATCATTATATTTTTTCAGTTTCAAGAAAGTGGGTACTACAGTAAAAACACCACCAAATAGTGTTAATAATTCACCAGAGTTAGATGGGAAGAAAGGATCTTGGCGACAAGCTATTTTTAATAGAGTACAAACACCAATAAAGCAAGGTAAACATGCATAAGAGATTTTAACAATAGTAAGGACTATAATTTAAAATTATTTCCCAAAAAATCAAGCTTAATACATTTCTTATTTATCTGGATTTGAAATTTTAAATTTAAAAGATGATAATATTCTAATGGAAGTTTTTTTAATTGTAAATTTATTATTTCAGAAAATCACGATATTCACACTGATGAAAATGATAACGAAGAACTTCAAGAAAAATCAAATGTACAAACTAAACGTTCGGCAGCCGCTCTGCGATCTCTTTGGAAGAAAGCAATAATGGAGCAAATTTTACTTATTCGAATGGAAAAAGAAAATCGAAAATTACAAAGTAAGGTTTTATGATTATCTTGAACTGTAACAGGCCTTATTGTAAGGTTTTTTCATACTGCACAAATATCAGTTTTATTTTGGTCAAGCTGATAAATCCTAGCATTAATAAACTGTTTCGAAAGACATAAATGGAAAATAAATTTTATATCTGTATAATTTTTAATTTCAATCATTGTTCAATCTTAATCGTTAGACACATGCAATGCGCACTGTGTGCCTGCATGTGATGTAATTTAATCTATGATATGTGAATTATAGTTTTAAATGATAATATTAATGTTGGACTGCATAAAAAATATCTGTTGTATATATTCAATACAAATGTCAAATCCTACCAACATTCCTTCCATAGTCTTTTTTTTTTTATTTTTATTTTTTATTTTTTTTTGGCTGAGTAATATATAATTTATAATGGAAATAATATATGCATAATTTAGGTAAATATTTTAACTTTAATATAGCCAGAAGAAAGAAATTCATATAAAACCCAAAACCAGATAATTAATTACTGCACAAATATGTGATTCCAATTGCACAATTCAAAATTTTTACTACACGTCTTGTGTCCAGTTACACATTAGAATACAAGGTCTGTTCAAAAAGTATTGGACCTTTGGTCGGCGAAAATACATTTATTGATTTTGAGGTACAAAACCCTAATCCCCTTCAAAGTAGTCTCCTTGGTAATGTATACACTTCTCCCAGCGTTCCTGCCATTGCTGGAAACACCGCTAGAACACATCTTTTGGAATGGCCATCAGCCGGTCAGTCGGATTCCGCACGATGTCTTCTCTCGACTAAATTCGGGTTCCTTTTAGCGGCATTTTCAGCTTGGGAAATAGCCAAAGGTCACACGGAGCCATGTGGGGAGAGTACAGAGCGTGACAAACCACAGGAGTATTGTGTTTGGCGACGAAAGCCCGAATCAGATGCACAGAATGGGCGGATGCGTTATCACGATGGAGCTGCCAAGTTTTGATCAACCACAGATCTGGTCGTTTGCGTCGCACAGCATCGGAAAGACGACGAAGGACCTCCTGGTAGTACTCCTTTGCGATGGTTTGGCCTTGTGGTGCGTACTCACGACACACCACCCCACGAGAGTCGAAAAAACTATCAACATGACCTTTGATATTGCTGCGGACCTGCTGCGCTTTTTTTGGCCTCGAGGATCGTCCCCGAAAGCCTGCTGAATCATGCGAATGGTTTACGCGCGGGTATTGCCAAGGTTTTTGGGAAAATTTGATGTAATATCGCTGCTCACGTTGTTCAGTCATTTTCCAGTTTAGTGGAATCCGACAAGAGCGCACTACATGACCTCACTCATAGGCCGATTGCCAAAAACTGATGCTTCCTGCAGGTGGGAAAAAATTCAGGGCTGTGCATGACTGTCCCCTCCACAACTCCACCGAAGGAGGCCTCTCGGCCATCATTGGTTTACGCGGAAAAAAAAAAGGTCCGATACTTTTTGAACAGACCTTGTATGAGCTGAACTGTAATGGTAAGCAGAAACTATAAAGTACAGTATACAGTGGTGCCTCGTATAACGTACTTAATCTGTTCCAGGTTCACGTCCATTATACGAAACGCATTTTCCCATAGAAATACATGTTAAAACATATAATTCATTCCGCAGCATAAAATAACCATACTGTACCAAAAAAAAAAATGAAAATGGAGCAGTAACCAATTATGCCCAGTAGTCAGATGTTGTGAGGAGGAGGTGGAGGAACACTTTCTTCACACATTCATACAGATACAGACTTTTTACACATTGCAGCAGATCTCTTTTTATTGTTTTTTAATCAGAGTCAGATTCAGGAGAGGCTACTGGGGCTTGCAGGGTCAACTCCTCTTGTTCCATCCTTTGTTTTTTGGCAGCTGGCTTCTTGAAAAACATGTCCAAGGTGGTCTGTTTCTCTCTGTTCTTCAACACCTGTCGGAAATGACGAGCAAGGGTGTCATTGTATAGATCATTGATCCTGTTGGCCTCAGCTCTGCTCTGTTTGGATAATGAGTTTTGGTAAACTCCTGAACCTCTCCCCATTTGACAAGGAAGTTTTTGTCAACTTTCACTCCTTCTGATAATTTCTTGCTTTGTTTCAATTGAAATCACCTTTCTGTTTTTTTAGAAGCCATGATTTGCACAACACTTGAATAAATGTAAATATCCTACACTGAGGTGATATATGTAATAAAGAAGGGAGCAAGCCAAATCCCAATGGGAGCTCTGCACTTCAGATATACTAATAATATATTATAAAAATAGCAGATCGTCATTGGCAATGGCAAAAGAGTGGAAACATCATTCGCACTTGTTCGCAGAAAGTCCGTTGTTCGCCTCACATAACTGCCAAACAGAAAGTCCGTTGTTTACAGCCAGTCCATTGCTCGAGTCATGTAACGGCCAAACAGAAAGTCTGTTGTTCATAGTGTCTGTTATTCGAGACATACATTGTACGAGGCACCAATGTATTAATGATTCTGAAGTGTGTTTAAGATCTTATATATCAAACTGGTGACTATATTGAGGAAACTTTAAATTATTTAAGTTTCAACACAAGTCTTTTTATTTTTTAATACTGTATTTTAAATTTACTTGATACTTGAAAAGAATACAATAAAACAGACTTAATCAGCTGGAGATTACATTATAAGTTTACAATCTTAAAATTTTATAACAAAAAAAATTGTTAATTTAAATAAAATAGAAGATTTTAATATATAGTCTTAATATGTATTTAAGAGATTCATTCAATATTAAAAATGAAATTTTTTCTTTTGCTTTGAATTTAATCCTTTGTAATGTTTAATATTATAACATTCTGAAGATAGAATAAAATTTTGGAAACATTTAAAGAAATTAGATACTTGTGACATTTTTTAGAAGCTTTCTAAAATATGAAATCATAATAGATTCTAATTTAAAAACAAAAACATTTTAACATGACAATATTTAATAAATTATTATATATGGGGTATGTTCTTTATACATATAATATCCAAAAATAATACCTTTTTGTTTTTTCTAATTTTTTATTATTTATTTATGAAATATAATAATATTTAATGAAATTTTATAAGCTTATTTAGTCTGTTTTACTTGCTATATTCACCTATTTTCATTTTTATAAGAACTGTATACATTTTTGATTGTGTTGTTATAATAAAAGTAATTTAGTTTAGTCAATAATATAAATTTTACTCTGATAAATAATTTTTATTTACAAATGAATTGTTACTAATTAAAAACATCATTTAGTGAGACAGAGTGCAGTATCTAGTAAACGAATGAAATTAGATTATGAAGAAATAACTCCGTGCTTAAAGGACGCAGTTCAGAAGTGGGAAGGATTTCTTAATGATCCTGATCGAATAGTAATGCGAATAGACTGGCAGAAACTTCAAGATTCTGTGAAAATAGGTAAGAGCTTATCTTTTGATGTTTTAAACTGTATTTCTAATTCTGAGAATAATTGTTGGATAAAAATTTGGATACCTTTTGAATAAGTTTAAAATATAAACAATGCACTATTTACTAATAGATGTGAAATTAAAATCATGTGATTTAATTTAAGAGACTAAGCTATATTAAATTGACGTTTCTACAGAGCTGCTATCATCATAGTTTATACACAAATACACAAAGTCCAAAATAAATGCTACCATTTTAAATTATTGTAATTATGTTAATTATCCGCAAATGTTATAATGTACATTAAAACATCGGAAAACTGTTAAAGTTTCACATTTGCCCATTACAGTGATTCTGACTTTGCAAACTACAGAACACAAAATGCTTTCTCTGTTGAGAGTTGCCATTTTCATTTATGGCAATAACTATAATTAGTAGACGACAAGACATCTGAAGGCAGATGGGGGATGAAAGTCTGACAGTTACTATTTCAATTGGTGTATGTCACATACTTTTAATGTAAAAATTAACATAATTACAATAATTTAAAATGGTAGCACTCTTTTTGGAAGATCTTGCATTTGTCTCTGACATTAAAAGCTTCAAATCCAGGTTTCTGTATGGATTCTGATTAGGGATTGCAATCAGGCAGTGTTTTCAATCCAGCTGGAATTTTGCTTGACCAACATCATTCCAGCTGGATCCAGCGCATATGTATTTTTGGTACAATAAAGTGTTATCTATCTATCTATCTATCAAGCAATTTAGGGGTTTTTTTTAAAGAAATAAAACATTTTTTTAAAAGATACTTAAGAAACTTTTATTAGTTAGACTAGTCACTATAAATCAGTAAAACTTCTTACACATTTAGGTAGTAACTTTGGTTCAGTTTAACACTTGAAATAGAGATAATTAGCATTAAATGTTTAGTTAGATTATAATTATAATGTAATATTTAAGTTAAATAATAGAAAAGGTAATTCTACTAATCAATTTATATTAATATATTATATTATAATAATGTAAGGGCGGATAATCAGTAGCTAAGTGGCTATCAGTCTTACCAGTGTTCTTATATAGGCTCTACATATCAGTCTGTAGTTATTTATAGGTGTGAAATCCGTGATTTTTACACCGATGTTGGAAAAGTCTTTGTAAACAACTCCCAGGGAAAAAACATTCTTGGTGAGAAGTATATTGTTTTCACACTTAGGTGGGAAAGTTGACACTTAACTGATCAGAATGCACTGTAAGTGTCAACTGAAGTCGATCACATGACTCATTTCCCACGAATAATGTATAAAAGCTCGAGTCCCCGGAAGCTTTGTGCGATCCCTCGGAAGTTATACTTGGTAGATGTGCTATATTTGTCTCCATACTCCGGACCGAAAAGACATACAACCAACCACAGCCATTTGAACTTCCATCGCCATTAACGAACATATTCAACGAATGCATATTAGACATATACACATAGAGGTATTTGTATTTTTTAGAGCTTTGTGAACTCTCTCTCAGACTAGCCGGTAAAGCTATTAGAGCGTCCCTTTTGTATAGTGAACTTATTTAATCACATTTAACCTATGTATCCTAGCTTAGTTATATAAATAAATGCTTGTTTAGTTTTTAAACCTGTCTCCTGTCTCTGAAGGACACCTTCCGACTTACTGACGCACTCCCCACTCAATTTTTTGCCCTCCTAGCCATCCCACAAGCCGAGAACTGGTTTTACCAACCTGTTTCAGAGTAAGTGGTCATTTGGGATGAGCCCAGTGGCCCACTGCTAATCTCACATAAGTAATTTAATTATTAGTGTTAGTAAAGTAGTGAGTAAGTAATTAGTAGCAGTCTAGTAGTTAAATTAAGGAATGAGAAGCCCATCAAAATATAAACACCATTGTTGCCACTGACGGATTGAAAACCACCAACACCATGATTGCAGCTTTCGTTAACTCAAAAAACAACATCATGGCCCTCTTCTCTCTCCACCCTGAGGCCTACACTTGACAACAGAATACTACAGTCAACTGGCAAATAGATCAGCAGAGGTAAAAGGGCTGGAGGTGCAGTGTAGAGAGGGTGTAGCAGGTATGGCACGTGCTGCACTGAACAGCAACATCGCTCTCACTGCCGAGTGATAGCGCACATTGCAAAACGGCAACGCCAACAACGTAGACTTTTGCGCCATTATTTAGAAAGTTAATTGAGTATTTGTGGATCTGCAGCACTGGATCCAGCAGGCCGAAGAATGTGATGAATCCAGCTGGATTGCTGGATGAGGATCCAGCAATTGCAATCCATAATTCTGATGTTAAAGCACTAGTGTGGAGTCCAGCATTGTCATGTTTCAGGATTTGTCCATAGTTCCAGCACCATAAACTACCATTATCTTGCATAAATTTTTTTGGGGGACTCATTTTCAAGAGTTAAAAACTCCATAACTGTTTACTGTTTGATTTGCATCAACATTGTTGAGAAAGTATCATACATCTTAATCACAATTAAATTTGAATTATAACAGATTCAATGTTCCTCTATGCATTAAAATATAGCTAATGAAAAAGAACCATTTGTTGAAACTTCTTGCTAGGCTACAACTCCTGTATAAAACATTTGTGTGAAGCATTACTGACTGAATGCCCTATGTATATTTAGGATGATAACATAATATAACCAGTTGTGTTTTTGTATGATTTTAAGTTCATAAATTGGTTGTGAATCAACAGTTTATGCAAATAAACAAATCTATGCAGTCATGGTTAGTAACAGCTATGGTTACCCAGTCATTGTAAGGTAGGTGAGACAAACATGCGTACAATTTTTATAGGAATTCTAGATTGGATGTAATTGTTCTATCAGAATAGTTTATACAATTCAGGAAAGAGTAGAAGAGCTTGTTCTAACTTACAGACATAGACACAATGTCAGACAGACAGCAGACATTTCTTATGGCTGACATCCTAATAAGCCAAAGTCAAACTACACTGCCAATTTTGTGGCTCTACTAAAAATTTCTTAAAACAAGAATGGTACAAGGCAAAGAAATCAGGATGTCTTCAAATAGCTATTGACAATGTATCAGCGATTGCTTTGCTTTCTTCAGTACTAAAACAAATCCAGCAGTTGTTCTGTGAAATGAAACTGCTATTGGAATTTCTCGATCATCTGTTTATTAAATATTAAAAAGGTAGAAGTTCATCCTTACAAGTTAGTTACTGTGCAAGCAGGGGCAGTGCAAACAGTTGGATTGCACAAGGCCCCACGATCCTGCATAATCTAACTCTTGCAAAATTTAAAAATTAATCATTTCATTATTCGCTAAGTTAACTAACTTTCACTAATCTATTTAACAGATGGTATGTTTACCATTAATATATTATTTTGTTGTTCGAAAAACTGTTATTTTTTTATTAAAAGGCACAGCATGACAACCTTGCACCGGGCCACCGCTATTTTTCAGGCTGCCCTGTGTGCAAGAATTAAGTGTAGATGATTTCAACTACAGGGTTGAATTTTATGAAAGTTTCACAAATCTATTATGGGACAATCCAGGATTACTTCATTACTTATGCTTCTCTGACAAAGCAACTTTTTATTTGAATGGTTAAGTCCACAAACAAAACTACTACTATTGGACATCCACAAATTCTCCATGTCACTTGCATAGGCCAAACTCAAATGCCACAAAAATAAATTTATGGACTGGACTATTGGCAGATAGAGTACTGGGCCATTTTTTCATTGAGAAGAATCTAACTGGGCTCATGTATTTGAATCTATAATGAGGCAATTGATGAAGTGTTTGAGAATGTAACACTGGGAACCTATATTTGATGTGGGCAGTGTGGTCCATCAACATGAAAGAGCTCCTGCTTACTTCCAAATAGACATCAGAAGTACCTTAGATGGGTTGTAGCAGTCAATTTGTATAGACTCCAATATCCAGGAAACATCTCCTGATTTAACACCCATTAATTTCTTCTTATGGAACATTTGAAAGCAGTTGTTTACTGAGAGCCATTGCAAACTGTAGATGAACTGTGAGAAAATATTTCACAAGCTTGCCAAGAAATAATCCCCAAGATGGTGGAAACTGCTGTTTGTTCATTTTATCATTGACTGTTCTACTATTTGTATGTGGGAGATCCTCATTTTGAGTATCTGCTTTAAAATTTAAATAGGAGAGTATTCCAAATAAAAAATGAAAAAATGGAAAGCAGAATAAAGTACTTATTTTCATGACAGACGAGTATTAATAACTGAATTATGCATTCAATTAACCAAACATTAGCCTAATAATACCAATGAATGAAATATACTAAGTAAAATTAATAATTCATTCACATATTACAACACTGTATGAAATACTCCAATGAAATTTTGTAGAATTATCTTGCTCATAGTGAGCATATCTTCTTTCTTTTAGTAGCCATTAAATTAAATACTAATCGTTAGTTCTGACATGCACATTATTACAAAACTGGTGCCATGTAACAGGACTTATATTAACTTTACTTGATTGTGCCCATAAAGCTTTGCCTACTAGTTTCTCCACATGATCTCCTTTGGGAAACACTGCATAAATATTACAATAAATACAAAATTGTTTATGGCAATTTTTTTTATTATCTTACATTTTAATAATCCTATAAATTATGGGAAGTTAATTAAAGATCTTCAAAATTAATGAGTAATTATATATTTATATTAAAAGGAATTCCGAGACATAAACGAGGAGAAATTTGGCAGTTTTTGGCAGAACAGCATTGTCATCATTTAAATGCCAGCATTAGTATCAGTGAAGATATTGACCTGACTATGCCCTACGAGGACTTATTAAAGCAGTTGACGTCACATCAACATGCAATTCTTATCGATTTAGGTAGGTTATAGTATAATTGTAATACTGATAAGAGTTTATTAGAAATTTGAAATAGCCATTGCAATCAATCTTTAATTAAATAGTATTATCCTGCACAATTTAGAATACATTTGCTTTTTAAATAGATAAAATTAAAAAAATTAGTAGGTTAAAATAAAAAAAAAATCATTGAAATGGTAGTAATAATTATAAAAGTTATACCTTGACAGTGGTGGATCGAGCACTCAGAGGGCTTAAGTGCTACTGGTTTCCAGGTCTCCTTGTTCTAAATACTAAGTAATACTATTAAATTAACTTTATTACTTGATAAAAATACTGATCAGTCAATTGTTTCCTTAAAAATAAATTTCTAAATGTCTAGATGAAGTTGGTATCTATTCCTGAAGTTTGCAGAATGTATCTTTTTGAAGCTGCTGACTTTCAGAGGCCTCAAGTGCATGCTTCTTGTGCCTTTGCAATGATTCACACTGTGCCTAGGATATTTCACTAGCTGATTTGATCCAATTTGTTATCTGAGAATTATAATAAATGAAAGGAATGAGTTAATTGCTTTCTTGAAATATTTAGCTTTAAATTTTTTTTCTTATATTCTCGTATCTGGTGACGCAGTCCAGTCAACAGTAATTTAACATAATTAATCTATGATAAAAGGTGTAATTCTAGAATCAACGTGTTTAATAAACAAAACTGTTGATTATAGTTATCAAAATTGTTAAATGTGAAATGTTTTCAACCTCAGTTTGGACCATCCTCAGGGTGCGTCCTCACAGTTCTGGAACTAGTCACGGCTCCGGGTAAAAGGGCCTTGAAATGGGGGTATCAAAAATGATCAGTAGTATATTTTCATTTTCAGATTTTACATTTCACTTCCATGGTGGCCAATTCTATAAGATTTTTAGTTAAAGATAAAAGTTAACTGGCCATTTCTATCGTCCACATCATCCGGCCGCCCCCACTGTAAGCCTGCCGAATTCATACTTGGCTTTCTAAAAGGCCCTCTTGGTAGCTTCAGGGCAGAAAGGTTTAAAACGAAAAAAAGATTATTTCCATTGCATTTGTATTTTATTTACAATTTTTCTAAAAATAGGAGGAACAAATATCTTACACAGATTTTATTTATTGAATAATAAGGATACAAGTTTCTCATATTTCCATTAGGTACCATATTTGTAATTCATTCCATTAAGGAGACTTTAGGTATATAATTTGTTTACTTCATTAGTAATTCTGTTACTTGAAATTATATCTGTTGTTTCTGTTTCAATATATACACTTTTTTAATTTAAAAAATATGTATATTTTGTACATTAATGTGTACATATGCAAAATTTGTATGCTATTATATATTGAAAAAGACTCAGAAACTATAAAATTCTGTGTAACAATTTTATTGTATGTCATAATTCTTTTTTTTATACAAACTATAAAGTTTGATAAAGGCTCAAAAATGTTATTTAATATGGGATTTTAAATGTGGATTTATGTTATTTACTTTACAAAAATTAATTATCTGGAGCTCACACCATATATAGGGGAGACCGGGGCAACTTCGGCATGCGGGGNTAAGAGATATGTAAGTTTGAATGATAAGTATAGTTTTATTTAAATATTATACAGAATAAAATAACTTTTAAAAGAATTTGGATGTTTTTGTTTAATATTATTTTTTAATGTTATCTGTCTTGTTTCTTTATAAATTAATCTTATAATGGAAAATATCAAATGTTCTTACTTATTTATAATGAAAATGAATTAAATGTTTAAAAATCATTATATTTTTTCAGTTTCAAGAAAGTGGGTACTACAGTAAAAACACCACCAAATAGTGTTAATAATTCACCAGAGTTAGATGGGAAGAAAGGATCTTGGCGACAAGCTATTTTTAATAGAGTACAAACACCAATAAAGCAAGGTAAACATGCATAAGAGATTTTAACAATAGTAAGGACTATAATTTAAAATTATTTCCCAAAAAATCAAGCTTAATACATTTCTTATTTATCTGGATTTGAAATTTTAAATTTAAAAGATGATAATATTCTAATGGAAGTTTTTTTAATTGTAAATTTATTATTTCAGAAAATCACGATATTCACACTGATGAAAATGATAACGAAGAACTTCAAGAAAAATCAAATGTACAAACTAAACGTTCGGCAGCCGCTCTGCGATCTCTTTGGAAGAAAGCAATAATGGAGCAAATTTTACTTATTCGAATGGAAAAAGAAAATCGAAAATTACAAAGTAAGGTTTTATGATTATCTTGAACTGTAACAGGCCTTATTGTAAGGTTTTTTCATACTGCACAAATATCAGTTTTATTTTGGTCAAGCTGATAAATCCTAGCATTAATAAACAGTTTCGAAAGACATAAATGGAAAATAAATTTTATATCTGTATAATTTTTAATTTCAATCATTGTTCAATCTTAATCGTTAGACACATGCAATGCGCACTGTGTGCCTGCATGTGATGTAATTTAATCTATGATATGTGAATTATAGTTTTAAATGATAATATTAATGTTGGACTGCATAAAAAATATCTGTTGTATATATTCAATACAAATGTCAAATCCTACCAACATTCCTTCCATAGTTAACATTCCAATAGACAATATGCAAAGCTTTTTTTTCAGTTTACAGCAGTATTTATTACACAAAATTTAAGTAAAGCTTAACATGCCGATCTTGCCCCGGTCTCCCCTAATTACCACACCATAACTTATTTGTAGTTAATTAGTATTTGTATGAATCTTTAGTGTAATACTTTGGTAATGTTTTACACACTGTAATGGCTAAAGATTCATATCATAGTGTAGGAACAAGAGACATCAAAAAGAGCAATTGATATCAAATTTTCACTTCTGATGATGTAGGTGTGTCTATTATGGTGCACTTTTGGAAGCTATTAATATAATTTATTGCTCATCAATACAGTTACAGGTAATAAATTGCATCACCACAGGGAAATAGATGCTTAAGTATTCCATTTAGCATAATGTATGCCAGAAAATTTGCTCCTCCACTAACTTTTATTAGTAAAAATATGAATAATACATTCGTCTTAAGCAGTCCCGTAGACAGGAATAAATCATTGGGGGCGAGAGGGGAGAGGTCGAAAAAATGCTGACAGGTGTTTTTCTCACTTCCAGACAGCACTAGACCTATTAGTTACAGCTCACAAGATGTTCCACCTCACTGTACACAGTGATATTCCTATAAGAAAAGCAGTTAAAATGGAATTGAAGTAGGCCAAAACCTTAAAATTTTCATAACTATCCATTAAAGAAGTGAAGAAACTTCTTTTTAATGTAATGAAAATCTTTCATGCCTAGTCACTGCGATACGCGAAAGTCATTTATAAAAGAAATTCTCTGATTAATGGGATAAAACGTTAAATATTATCGTGCAGTTTTGGCATTATATTTTGCGAGATTGTAATTAGAATAGAGCATAAATCTGCCTCAGGCATGGCAAATTTAAATTACTTAAGTCGGGATTCTATTGATTTCGTCGTCGTAAAGTATTAGCGAATAATTTAACGTTTTATTGTTTAGATACGTGTACTAAATGAATGGTAATTGTACTTTTTGATGAATTAATACTTTACAAAAAACAAAAAGTATGAAAGTTCAATTACACCAGACTGTTTCATCACGTAATCAATGTTATCATTGCGTGTCGCCCTGTGTCAACAGTGACATTTATTATCATCAAACGTGTAGCAAGTACAGTACACTGGCATATTGACTCATATAATTGGAAAATATGTAAATAATCCCTATTCAATTATCTATTTTTCTGTATTCTACTTCGTTTACTTAAAAATTTCCCCTTTTTTCCAATGACAATACAATTTCTCCCACAGTACGTTACAGTAGGTACGTAATTGTTCTCTTCGTCTAACCTTAACCATTTAAAAAAATCCAGTTGCTTAACTTTTCCGGCATAACATTCTATTCTTTCTGTGTATTCATGTATATACGTACAGTATATAAACCGCACTGAAGGTGTGCTTTTTGTTTACATTTGGCTGGAGACGAGGGGGGTGCTTGTAAGCTAAATAACTTAAAAACGTCAATAGGCAAGCTGGTAGTTTTTATTCCTTTGTCAACTTGTATTATATATTTATAAGCCACGACTGACAACTTAAATAGTTATCAGTCATGACTAGCCGGATAGTGGCATCAAGGGTTATCCTTCGTAACACTTCCTTACAATACGCAAGTGGAAGTGTATTAAGTTATTGCTTAAGATACACAAAACACGTTAACAAAGCATTTTAAAAACGAGTTAACTGATAAATATGCAAGCGTGAGTAGGCCAATTAGTTACGCTTCAGATTGCCTAATTAATCGATGAAAAATTTAACAAATGGCCTACCTAACTGTGTGCTTATTACCATAATTATACCGGAAATTTAAATGCGTTATATTATATTTATGGTAAAGTAAATAGAAGATATTAAATATTTATAGAGGAGAGTGAGAAATGAATGGATTTTTAAACAAGTTTTTCGGACGTTTTAAAACAGAGGTAAACGTTTCTTTCGAAGGGGGGGGAATTCGTTGGAGTAATCGATTTCGATCACAGATGGCGTCACCTGTCCGGAGTTAAAATACCTTCACCAATTTCTGATTTCAGGAAGAACCTTCCCTAATCATCCTTATTACAGTCAGCCCCTGGGTCCCGGCCAGTTAGCCCTTTTCAATTTGCTCAAAGCCTACTCTCTTCTGGATAGAGAAGTCGGATATTGTCAAGGTCTCAGCTTCGTAGCGGGGATTCTGCTTCTTCACGTGAGTGTTTTATTAAATCTTCTCGTGTTAATTTAAATTGGATGCGTTTTCATATGGGAAACTTTCAGATGTCGGAGGAGCGAGCCTTTGCCATGATGAAGCATATTCTTTTCCATCTTGGATTCAGGCGACAGTATAAACCCGATATGGTAGCTTTACAGGTAAGTCCGTTTGTGTACCGTACGTGGTAAGTATGACGTATAATGGCCATTTTTCTGTGTTTAGATCCAAATGTATCAGTTATCCAGACTGGTGCACGATCACCAGAGGGATATTTATAATCATTTCGAAAAGTACGACATCAATCCCACTTTGTACGCCGCTCCTTGGTTCCTGACTTTATACGCCTCCCAGTTTCCCTTGGGTTTCGTGGCTAGACTGTTCGGTAGGAACCGTTTGCGTGTTTAAACAATAGCAGCAACGTCACTAACGTTTTGTTTTGTATACTTCGCAGATTTGATATTTCTCCAAGGCATAGAAGCCGTGTTCAAAGTTGCTCTTGTACTCCTGTCTAGTCACCGAGAACCGTTATTGCACTGTCACGGTTTCGAATCCATAATGGAGTTCCTCAAAGTAACCATGCCCTCGATGGGTATCATTCAGATGGAACGGGTATTCAATCAGGTAACGAATATTCTTCGTTAAACAATGCGTGGAGGTCTTTAAGTGTTCTTATCGTTAAGATTTCTTCAGGTTTTCTCCTTGGATATCGGTCGAAAGCTGCAGGCCTACGAAGTGGAGTACCACGTTTTGCAGGAAGAAATGGTGTACTGCACCGAAAGAGGCAACGTGGGTTACCTTGACAAGTTGGAAGAATCCAATCGGAATCTCAAGAGGCAGAACATGGAACTGTTGGAGCAACTTCAGGCATGTTTGCAATTTAGAAAATTGCACTTTTTCCAAAACTGTATTTAATCATTCTCGTTCTGTAGGTGGCGCACGGTACCGTATCCAGTCTGGAATCTGCTGTAATGTCACACCAGAGTACAGTGAAGAGGTTAGAGGGTAGAGTTCGGGCTCTAGAGGACGAGAGGGAGGCTTTGATGCATAGCGTGAATATCATGAGGAGAAGATTGGAGAAGCTGGAAACCGCCCAATTAAGTTCCGAAGCGTCGTCACCTTCCGAAAGTAGAGCACCCTCTCTGGGTGTCATCAACGCCTACACGGGAGGAGAACGTGAAGAGGAGGCGGCTTTGGCTTCCCTCATCAAAGGAGCCTCTAAAGAGACCCTAGAAAGTTTACTCTCGGAAGAAGTGGCAATCGGCGACCGGAAGTCGTGCAGCAGCGGTAGTGACGTCAGCGAGTGCAATTCCGACATAGGTAGCAGTCTCTGACGTGTCTAGTTGAAGGGGACGTTCGAATTGTGTGCCAAAATAAAAGAGCGAAGCCAGTTCGTCGAAACTAATCATTTATCAGTGCCTTGGAATCACTAACTCGTGATATTTCATTTCTAGTCATAGAGGAAACTTTCCGCTTGTTCTAGTAGAATTTTTTCTACTTTATTTTTTTGAATATTGTAGAAAAAGAGAAGAGCAGAGTTTAGAGCTTCAGAAAAAAAAAACACACACACAAAAAAAAACAGAAAACACAGGAGCGGATGTTGAGAAATTAAGATGTAACTATCTGTTTCCAATAAACACCTTCATATCTATTATTGCATGGAACGTTGTTCGCTGTAATCGAAGAATAAATTTTCTTTTTTAATGGCACACTAGACGGGCTGCAAGATTCCCCAATGGCGAAATTTAATACATGGCATTCTGTTGTGCGCGAAACTATAAAATAAAATAAAATAAAACACGCGCAGGAAAGCTTACAAGCCACCAGATATATCCTGAATCGGTACGACTCGAGGATCATGATTATTTGGTGCCAAGAACCCCACCTGATGCCGCCGACCCTGTCGAGGTCAAAGGTGATGTTGCGAGGGAAGGTCGATGCATGGCCGTCAGGCTAGGACGTGATCCTAAGGATACCCAGGAGGACTTTTCGTATCCTCTCTCTCGACAGATATCGGTTCGGACTAATATAACTCGAGGTTGTTGCACCCCTTTTTTTTTAGTTTTCTTCTTTGTCTCGTTGATCACTTTCGTTACCAAAGTTAGTGTTTGAGAAGTTTTCCTCGTTTTATTTTAAATCTCTGTTCCTCGGGCATTGTAAACAGAAAAATATATTATGGACATACAGTGATTGGATTATATACGATTTGATTACTGGTGCTGTATATTTAAGGTGTTTTGTTTGTGTGAGCTGAGTGTTAAGGTGTGTTTTGATTCCTGTTTAGGGAATTTCTGCAAATAGTTTCGGACTTTTTACGGGGGTTTATAAATAAGTTACGTTTCATTCTTCTATCGCCGCTCAAACCTTATTTATGTGTGATTTTTATCTTTTAATTTTCTAATCGAGTCGGGGATATTTTTAGCCCTATACGGGAAGCTAAATTCTCATTAAAGCTCGGACAAATCAATACGCCCGAAGTATTGTTAGTTATTGTATTAACTGATGGAAAGGGCCTTTTACATTTCGTAATTTCTCTCCAAATTCGGCCATATTTCTTTTGTATTCTTGATCTATAAGGAAGCGATGCGGGTTCACCCACTTGGCTCAAAAAAGCCAGTCGAGGGGTTGTGTTACAAAACATATAATACGCATTGAACGACAAGGATCTCATTTTAAATAAATTCTGTAAGGTCGAAGAAGTAAGTAAATCTGCAATTTAGTTCTCACACCGGTTGACCGACTTTTGGACCACCCCGACAATTAATGCCATAAATTCCGCGCCGTAAACTCGAATGGCAATGCCATATTGCGCGTTATCCGGCGGCGGATGTTTACCGGATTTGACTGTCGAGCAAATTTAATGCGGGCCGAGCAGAAGGGGGTGCTTCTTTCCCCCTTGCAAACGAACTCGTATATCACTCGTCGGCGCAGATTGCATCGCCCAATCTCGTATCGAATTCGGGATGCAGGACCGGATTTCAATAAAAGAATACGAAACGGGCAAATTTGCAATTCATAATGCCGGGGATGGCATTCGTCACGTATCGCGTTGAACGTAGGACGCATCGATGCCACCTCATCCATCATCTTACCTATCTCTTACAGTCGGCGCCCAATGCGGGAGCAGCATCCTCACATAAATCTGTCAGGGGAGGATGGAAGTAAATAATTAAGTAGACGGCCCATTGAAGTGTCCGAAAAATGCATCCGGCCGTAATTACGGAAAATATTATTTACAGTAATGAAGATAAATAGGACCGCCGAGTGTGTTTGTGTGTGTGTTTGCGCGAATCCCAGTAAGATGGCGGATATCGTTCCCACATCGATGATGATGATTGCATTCACTCTCGCATTAGTATGATGTCTATCATGGATACTTTAATTATAGACAAACGAAATGTATATATAACAAAAGCTTATTCGAGGATTATCTTAATGTATTGCTCTTCTCCATTAGCATTAATGCCCGATTATAATTTTCGAAGTTTTACATGCTCGATAAGTTCCTTTCGTAATCGTTTTAATGATATCCTGATGACCCTCGTTAAAATCTTGACGATATTTCATTGATTTTCGTTAAGAGCCTGTGGATAATGTCCCATTGATCCTCATTCGGAGCCTATTGATGATGACAACAAATGGCACTTAATCGAAGAAGGTCTATGATTTGGAATGTCGCCTTTATTCGGTTAATTTCTCCTCAATACTACATCTTTCTCTAGCATATACAGTAACTATTGCAATCATCATCATCGGTGTTCATTAGATTCTTTTAATTGGCTGAAATTTAATTTTAGCCAATTAAAATAAGTTACCATCAAGTAGTACACGAATTCGGACCCTCCTCTACATTAAGGTTCAAAGTCATACTTACCTATTTAATTAGCGTGAGCTGTAAGTCTTTAATGTAAAGTATACTTCACTGGTGTGCGACACGTGCATCTTCACGAGGCCTTGCTTTAGAGGCCTCACGCTTGGTTAATCTCGTCCGATGTCGTCTCGAAAAGACCTCCATTTTTCACTGAGCCTGGCAAAATACGGAGCCAGTTCTGGTTTATTTGTTATTGTTTTCACAGTAATAATTATTATTGAAGAATTCTTTACTAGTAATACATAAGCAAGGCATGAAAGTGGGTGCAGCGAGACCCGGTCTAGACATAAATGCGGGGGCCCCACCCCTGTCCGAAAGTCATAAAAATATATGAATAAAATCAATAAAACAAATAAAAACAGGTTTTTCACTACCTACAAAAAGGAAAATTTAATTTATGTCATTTTCCTATCGCGTGTTTTACATGAAAGACTATAGGGCCCTTACGACGTAACGAGCAAGGGCTAATGGCACTCCTCTACGTAAACCTGCAAATAAATTATTCTGGATTAAAGAAGAATTTTTAAAATGTCTTAATGTGAGAGGCATATTTAAGTTTAAAACACTCGTATGATATTTCTCAAATTTTGAGGCCACTACGTGAGAGGCCCGAGCCAAACGACCAAGCTGGCGCCTCCTCTGTCTGAAACTTCATACGAGTCTACGCTCGGATCGAAAAAGAAATTTCAAATTGCTTTAAGGTAATAAGCATAATTTTTTTTTTTTTAAGATTAATGCCCTTATATTTGTATGCCCGAATCGTTTTAGATGCCTCAAGAATGGCATTTTAAGATTAAGGACCTTATATGCCTAAATCACTTGTTTAGATGACTGAAGAGTGGGATTTTTAAAGATAACTTATAAAACAAAGTTACGGGGCCTCTCGTATGTCGTAACTTATATGACACTCGACAGGCCCTATAGTATCCGCCAATTAAATTAATAAATCTGTTGTCTTCTTCTGTTTGAACAGTCATCAACAAAAAAAAAACTTTCAGCCCATTTGAAATGGAAAACCGTTTCTTGTCAACACCCATTTCGTTTGATATCCGTTTCGGTATGGTAAATGGATGGGTGTCTCACGCGTGACGGGTGGTAATGCCTCCCACGTGACCACCCGTTGTCACGCGCAACACTGACGAATGCCCAGTCGAAGGTCGAAAGGAAAAAGAAAACAAAGAGGGGGGTTCACGAGAATGGAATGTTTAATAGAGTGAACTATCGATCGAATTTAAAGGCGTGACGTCTTCCTCACATACACACACGTCACGTGTTATTATTTTATGCAAATAATTAGGATAGGGCTTCGACACAACGGGAAGGGATCAGTAAACGAAGAGGGACGAGAAGTTTGTTTTTTTATTTTTATAAAATTTTATCTGAGTGGTTAAAAAATCAAGAAGACGAATGAGTCAGGCTACGCTGTCCAACAGCGATTTATGTGTAGTTGTTTTAACAGAGTAACATCGGCGTATCCATTTATTCTTTCGAGCTGTCTCCGTGTCATCCGGGGCTGGGGAGGACACAAATTTATAACCTGGTTCCGCCGTCCTTGTTAAATTGCACAAACATTCCTTTACTCAAAACTTCAAATTTATATATGTATACACACATATACACACACAGTGGCGGATCTATATAAGGATAATGGGTTTAAACCTACGGCCTTAACTTTTAGAGGGCCCTAGACATAGCTCGAAGTATGCAATTGTTAAATACAGTAAGTATAAATGTAAAAAAACAACACCGTGTCTGTGGCTAGTGTTTCTTACACCTATGGTTCGTGTATGAAATTTATAATTTAAAAAGAGCCCCCCCGAAGAGAACTCGAGCACGAGATTCACACCCCCGCAACACGAGGGAAGGATTGAGTCGTGCAATACACCAATACTTTCTTCCGTGCTTGTACAATTAGAAGAAGACTGTACTCTTATTAAATGTGAGGGATGACATACCTTGTTGAATCTACATAAACTTCTTACACGGGGTAGTGAGCTATTGTTTGCGTGATTGACGGCTCATTTATGCTTTTATAGTTTCGGTGTAGCCCTTCGTGAAGTGAATAATGATTGCCCGGTTCGGTCAAAACTTATCCTTTTCTAATAGGCTTACCTGAAAAAAAGGGAGGGGGGAAAAGAACATCTCTTCGGGCTCTGCGGGGTGGTTGGCATGACGCACACCATTTTGGATACCGGTTATTTTCCTGATAATTTATCACTCTATAAATCGATAAAATATATTCTATAGTACTGTGTATTCATTCGCCACAACGTCGTGTTTTTCTGTATACGAGAATGGGACCACGAAACGTTTTTTCCATCACGTTTCGGTCTAATTGGATACGTAAAAACGGGGGAAAAACGCATAAATATTGCATCTTCCCCCCCCCCGTTTTTACCTGTTAATTATACAAATAGCGAGCTAAGTGAAAGAATTAAGCGTTAATTAACACCTTCCTAGTGTTATACCTTCGTTAATTGGTGCTATTTAACAACAACAGCGATCGATTTCGGTAGTTTGGAAGCCGAAAAACAATAATCCGTGCGTAAAATCGATGCAGAAAATATTCGAAAAATCCGCAGCTGTAATTGATAATGGAAATCGGTTCTGAGTGGGAGGGCGCTGGCGATTGTTTTCGTGTGAATTATAGTGTAATATCTTCAACGCAATTCGATGGGAGTTGATTTTAACGAATGAAGCTTTAAATTAAAAAAAAAAAAATAAAGAAAAATAGAACCGAATTCGGCCATTACTTCGTAACAAGAGAAGGGTGTGAGCCTACC